CCAGTTCTATGGCAGTAACTTCTTTACTGTCCCCTATTGATAATAAATCCATTTCAGATTTGTGGAGATTGGATGTTTTAGGAATCAAGGATCCAGTGGAGGTAAAGAGTGAATCTTCAGTTAAAGGTAGAACAATGGAACATTTTGTAGAATCTGTTTCAGTGGAAAATGATGGCAGATATCAGGTCAAATTGCCATGGGTTGAAGATCACCCGCCGTTACCCACTAATTTAAAAGTAGCACAGAAGAGACTCAGTAGTCTTACAAATAAACTTAATTCTAGTGGATATCTTAGTTCATATCAACAGGTGTTGTCTGACTGGGAGGAATTAGGTATCATAGAGAAGGTTAACGATGCCGATTTGGAAATTGGTCACTATCTACCGCATCGACATGTGATAAAAGAAAACAGTCTTACCACGAAATTGAGACCTGTATTTGATGCATCTGCTAAAGAAAAGAATCAGCCCTCGTTGAACGATTGTCTAGAAAAAGGTGACAATCTAATTGAATTGATTCCGTCCATATTAAATCGTTTTAGACTACACATATATGGAGTTGTTGCTGACATCGAGAAGGCTTTTCTACAGATTGGTGTACATATGGATGATAGAGATTTTCTTCGTTTTTTGTGGATTAATGAAGATGGTCAATTGGTTGTTTACAGACACGCTAGAGTGGTCTTTGGAGTTACCTGTAGCCCATTTATGCTAAGTGCAGTAATAAAACTTCATTTAGAAAAAACATTAGACTTGATAGATTCGGGATCGTTAAACTACTCAAGGAAAGTAGTAGAGACACTGTCGAGAAGTTTCTATGTAGATAATTGTATGGCAAGTTTTGATGACTTTTCAGATTTGAATCAATTTGTAGATCAAGCGACTTCTGTAATGAAAGCTGCTAGATTCTGTCTTCGGAGTTGGGAGTACACAGAAATTCAGAGTTTCAAAAATGATTTTACCTTGACACCTATCTTAGGTTTAAATTGGAACAAAAATACTGACATGATTGAGTTGAATTTTGAAAACTTTGTTTTTAAAGAACCTGAAATAGTCACGAAGAGATCTATTTTGTCTTTTGCTCACAAGTTGTTTGACCCCATAGGTATAACTTGTCCTGCTACACTCTTACCTAAGATATTGCTGCAGAAAACGTGGGAAAGTAAAATTGGATGGGATGACAAGGTTTCAGAAGAGATAACACTTTTGTTTTTAGATTGGGCAAAGCAACTTGAGATTTTTTCAAATTTGAAATTTCCAAGATATTTTGGAAATGAAATCGGAGGGAATATTTCTTGGACAGTTCACTGTTTTTGTGATGCAAGCCAGGACGCTTATGCGGCTGCTGTTTTCCTGAGGGGTGAATCTAATGGACATACCACAGTTCAATTAGTTCAAGCGAAGAGTAGAGTTACACCTGTCAAGAAGATGACTATTCCTCGACTGGAGTTATTGGCGGCTACCATTGGCGCTCGTCTAACTGACAATGTCTTAAAGAGTATGGGATTTGAAGATGTCAAAACATTTTATTGGGCCGACTTAACCACCGTTTTGTCATGGATTCGTCGAGAAGATTACTGGGGAGTGTTTGTTTGGAACCGAGTAAAGGAAATAAGATCCCTTAGTAACATTGAATCTTGGAATCATGTTCCAGGCCATATGAATCCAGCTGATTTGCCGTCACTTGGATGTTCTCCTAAGCAGCTAGTAGAGTCGAAATGGTGGGAGGGACCACAATGGCTAAGAAACTCATCAAACTTGTGGCCTAACCAAAACTTCAGTGATGATTGTGATGAGAAAGAAGTAAATTCTGAACTTAGGAAGATCAAATCAACTACAAAGATTCTGATTAATTCAAAACCTGAACCAGATTGTTGGTATTACAGATATTTCTCCAGATTTGATAAAATCGTCAGGTTGGTAGGCTGGATTTTGAGATTTTGTTGTAACACAAATATGTCTAAACAAAAGATATCAGGAGGATTGTCGGTTGATGAATTGATTAAGGCTCAAAATAAAGTGTTTAAACTTATTCAGAAAGACACTTTCCATAGTATCAAGGATGAAAAATTGAGTTAATTGTGTCCGTTTGGAGACAGTGATGGCTTATTAAGGTTAAAAACAAAAATCACAGAGAGACCTGATAGTAGAAGTTTTAATCTTCCCATCGTATTGCCGAGTAACCATCCTGTTGTTCACAGATACATACAATACAAACATGAAGAAAATTCACATGTTGGAGTCCAAGGATTGCTATCTATTCTCAGAGAAGAAGTTTGGATTATTAGTGGGAGAAGAACTGTAAAATTAGTTATTGACAAATGTGTCAAATGCAAGCGATACTGTGTTAAAAGCTAGAAGATAAACAAGTGATAGAAGGTGTGAGGAAAAATTAGACCACCACAAAAATACCTGAAGCAATAATTAATATTTTGACTTTGCAAGTCAAAAGGTGGGAGAATGTTGGATATAGTATTCAAACATTTTATTTCAATAAACTATGGTTTATATTATATTTTCTCTTTTTCCAGCTGCTATGAAAATGAACTTTAATAATTTTGAGACATATGATTTTTGAATGAATTGTTATGTTGTTATTACAGAAATAATAGTTTGGTAGCATTTTACTATGATTGAGTAACTTTTCTTTTGTGAATAATCAAATTATTTTCTGCCCAGTATCTAGTCTATTTCTCTTTCCATTTTTGACTTTTAACACAGGGTTCAGTTTGAGCCCATTGACAAATGACCACTTGGCGATGCTCTCCGGGTCAGCGTTGAGTTTGTCAATTGCTTCTTTCATGAAAACAGGCTCAAAAGAAAAGTGCAACTGAGAATCGTCTGCATGAAAAGTGCCGTAGAGTTTTGTACACAGCTAGGGAAGTCAGCTGTATAAAGTGTGTAGAGAACAGGGCCCAAGCAGCTGAATGATATTGACCATAATGGTGCTGCACCAATTCATCTGGGGAAATCATAAATAAACTCTCCAACCACCCAGACACAGCTTTTGCATATTGTATCTCTGCAGATATTTGGCACCTTAAGAACATGTCAGCAGGTGTCGCTGTGGTTTTCAAGAGTTTCTTTGGCAAACCAACTTTGGCTGACTTTATCAACCAACACCTGACCAGTCAACAAATTAAAGATTGCTCTACACACTACAGTCTATGGATTGGTTACAAAAGCTCATTACTTTAGGAAGCCCACTATTGGATACTATGAGAAAGCATTTGAAGCGCTCACAGAGGACTTAGTTTGTCGCCACTGGTTAATTGTATTCATAAGATCCACTAAATTTGAGAAAACCCCACGATCAAATCTGGTGATCTTAGGGCCAAGGAATATAACCAAAACGTGAAATAACCCTTCCTGGAAACAGTACTTTCGACAGCCATTGAATCCTGAGCAATGTGCCCGGTGAATCTTGTTACATAAGATAGCGTATTGTTCATGAAACGCTGTGACCTTAAAAGTGTGCCAGCATATCAAATATTACAAATCAAAGCTTTCCTAACCACCGGTTCAACATTCTGCAGCATCGTAACAGTTGTTTCAAGCAAGAGGCTACTTGTTTCTGGATCCCTTTGCCTTAAAATTGTTAACCCACCTCAGAATTAATTGAATTTTGGCTGTAAACAATATCATGGCATCCAAGATGAATGTTAACCAAGAAAAATAGCTACACTGCCGTGGGTTTGCCATTTCACACATACTCATCATAGGCGAACATAGGGTATGGAACTGTCCAATAATCCATGGCTACTAAAATGGAAGGATACACATCAATGAAACAAGGGTGGCTCCAGAGGGCAGACCAGGTGGGCCTATCCAAAATGTTGGTGGATATTTAAAAATTATAAAAAAGAAACTGAATTATATGTAAAGAAAGGGAAAGCATTCAAACTAATTATTTTGCATTTAAATTTTAAAATTACCCCCTTTTTGCGGGTAAAGCCCTTCAAACCTCTCGTATTCCGATCAAACTCTCTCTTGATCCTTGTCTGGCCTACCAAAAAATTGTACCTGGAGCCGCCCCTGCAATGAAAGACGACCCAACCCCTCGCGACAGTAATTGTGACACGTATACCTACTATTTGTTAAAAAATCATCTGGTTCTTGTTTGTCATCCCCTATAATGATGTATATTACAGATTATACTACTCAGGAATATAGCGTTAAAAAATCATCTGGTTGTTGTTGGTCATCCCCTATAATGATGTATATTACAGATTATTGTACTCAGGAATATAGCAAGTAATTGGTTTTATCTTATTGGTTAATGATAAGAGGCGCAATCAGTCAAGTTGTAGATGTAGTATTCTGCTGGTATCAATTCAACATGAACGTTTTAGATTGCTAGTGGATGTGTTACCTAGGATATCCTAATCAATTTCAACTTGAAAAACAATGGTAGTCAATGAAAAAGTCCACTCATTGCTGTACCACACAATGCCAATTTGGGGAAACACGTCTAGTCTAAGTAAAAAATCTGCAATTCCTTTTTTCTCAACTCTTAAACATTAGGCAATATACTTTTTTTATTCAAAACAGCGTCATAGGATATTAACAGGTTGTCTGTATGTTCATATTTCAACCTAACTAGTTGAATTGGCAGATAAAAACATAATACACTGATGTCATGAAGTGGTCCGATGGAATCATGTTCTGACATTGGAAGTAATACAGCAAACGCTCACTTTAAACTTGTGGCTTACAGGTAATCCACAAGAAAACGTAAGCATAAAGCAACTGATAGCAGCATATGCCACTAAAATCTCCCGCTTTGTGTGACTGGGTGAACTTGACTTATTTATGGAAAATATATACAAAAGAAGTACCAAAGAGGTGGGTTAAAGCCAATAAGTGTTTCCAACCATTTGTTGAAAAAATTCCTTTTTACTGGCCAAAAGATAAAAGTCACTTACCATTTATATAAGCACACATTACTCAGATTTTCTCACATGAAGGAGGAAAAAATAAAAGTTTTTATCATTCACATAGTCTGCCACAAATTTATAAAGTTTATTTTTGTAAAACATAATTATTTGCACTAACATTATGTTCATTAAAACTTAATTAAATAAGATATGTTATACAGGAATGATAAACACAATATAGTAACAAATATCTTACAAGTGCTAGGCACAAAAATGAAGCTTTACAATAAAAACATTGCTTTTGAAGAATAAATATCTAAACAAAATAAATGGGAAATTAGCTTTTTAGCAACAATTTAATTGAACTAAGGCCAAACAACATATTACAATAACTCCAGGGTTATGGCAGACAAATGTCGAGAAGCACGTTGGTTAGTTAAATTAAACATTACAAAGTTTAAAATCCTTTAGCAGTACTGATTAAATTACAAAATGTATAAAAGTTACCTCTAAAAAGTCTATAAATTGTACTTTTTATAAATACAGACTTTGACACTCTTATAGTTTCCATTATTATAGTAAACATCATTGAATGTTGAAAATGTAAAGGGATATTAATGTTACAAATATTTTATATCCAAAAGTCAAACAGAAAAAAATGTGAAAAAACAATTAAATAAAAAGCAATATCAATTTAACTGATCAAAACATTGGAATCTCGAGCATTTAACATTAAACTTGTTTAATGGATATATTGGTGATCTAAATCATCAGTTATGTTAAAACATGTTCATAAACTTTATAACTTTGAATATTTCCAAATAATTAGACACTCAAATATGAATGTGAGAAAATATTTAAAGTTGCAGGTTTCAAACAGACAAACCTTGTATATTCAAAATATAGATTTGCATGAGGGACAAATCAGACATTCAAGGCCCTGCTGAAATTCATTGTAACCTTAGATTGTATTTGTATGACAATATAATTGAGATCTAGTTCACAATGTGTATCACCTAACTTAAAATAAAAATCAAATTAAGGTTGAAAATGCACTGAACTTGTGTGGTAGCTCCAGTTATTGTCCGTACTGAAGAAACAAAAGCTTGGAATCTGAACATCGTATTTGTTCTACTGTGAGTCCACATTAAACAGGTTTAGTCTGTTCACACTACTTTAATAGTAAAAGTTATAAGCAAAACAAGTTTTTCAATTTTTAAAATTGGCAGCTCAAAGCTTATTTATTATTATACAATTCCACTTTATCAAATAAAACCTACTTTCCACAAATAAAAAATAAATATACTTTATAATTTAACAAACTGATAAATAACATAAAAATTGTAACTGTGCATAAAAATATTCCAACCATAACATACCGAATATTTAAAAAAAATGTAATAAAACCTTTATGACTTAAACTAAACTCAAAATTGCACAATAGTATTTAGCATTATACTTTGGACAGTACCGAAACATTCTCCTTAGCTCATTTCAAAACACACTCTTGTGTTACTCATAAACATTGTTAATTCAAAACATACATTATACATATATACTCTGTTGTTGAATTATCATCCTTATAGATCAGCTGAAGACAATTTTAAGGTATGTTTCAGTTCGGTTCATTAACCAAATTAAAAATGAAGTAGAGAACACATTTTTATTCACAATTTGATTCTTATTATCTAAGCATATTTAAATAGATATGACAATCTATTTGTGAATTATTGATTGACCTTTTGCATGACAACCGTAGGATAAAGCAAATATTGTAAGATGCCTAAAATAGGCTTTCAAATAAGAGAGAAAAATTTAGTCAATATCAGCACACATAGTATAACCAAAATTAAACAGACATCAAAATTGACTTCAGCCTTACACTAGAATGAGACTTGTAGCATTCAAAGTCAATGTTGATGGTAGTTTACGCAACGATCACAGTGTTAACGACACAAGTAGAAATTTAAGGTACAAGCCCTGGTGAAAAAACTTCTACCAGTGTCGTTAACACTACTTATGCGAGTTGTGTACACTACTTTACCTACGACCGTTTTTTAATTACTAACAACCACTACTCATAACATTTAAGGGAGGTAATGTTTGCGTTTATAACCTCTCATTACCACTGTCAATGATCGGTCTTAACAGCTAATTAGTTAGAGTTTGAAGCATTAAAAAGTTACTTCTTTTCTCTCAATCCATGAACCTCATTGGTCCGCTCCTCGTTTGGTTAAGTAAAACAATGCTGTTAAGTGAATCTTTTTAATTCCAAGAACTCAACTGAAACGGCTAGTTCAAAAAACGGCTGTTGGTAAAATATGAAACCAACACAAAGAAACAAAATTTTCTCTAAAAAAACAAAAATAACTCCTGAGTTAATCAATAAAGTAATTAAAATACACAATGATTTCCATAAACTCTAGCTTGATAAATATTGTACTATGAGTTTGAATGTATCGCCACATCTTAAAATTATTTGTGAGCAATTTTAATTATTATCGGGTGAATAGTAACATACACCCTTACAAAGATTACTATACCAACACTCAATGTCGAAAACACCACACCAAAATTTGTATTATGTTATACAGAGATACTTGAGTCGAGAATTTAAAAAATCTTATCATTCATAACAACACTAATTCCACACACACACAGTATTAATGGAAGTTTGTACTGGACTGTAGCAGTTAGGTTTTACATTAAGTAACACAAAAACACATCTACACCATGAGTTACTTGGTTGAAGAATAAGTAAAGTTACTAGGGGGTAGTTGAAGGTTCTACACACAAGTTACATAGCTCACACATTTCACTTCTGATTTTTTAACCATTACTTATGAGTTAAGTTAAAGAATACTTCAGCATTGTAAAATATTTCATCACTAGGGCATAAAGTGAATCTTTTCAATCCTCGCTAATTTTCTGACCTCTGCTTCAACTCCATCGTAAAACTTGAGCTCTGGTCAAAAAGTCACTTTTGCCAGTGTGATAAACTACATTTTTCGTCATATCGCACCATTTTAAGCAAACTAAGTTACAAAACAAAAATACTTTCCGTGTAAAGATAACATCTCAAAATGACTTGAACTCGTTTTTAATTTTGCTAATGCAAACACACAGCTTTTAAGTACGTTATTCAATTATTATGTCTATTACAACTGTGTTAGTGTACATTATACTATCAATATGTAAGGAAATTTGTTAGTTTCTTACATCATTTTGGAAACAAATTAGTAATATATTCAAACAATGTCTTTCAAAATTACTTAAGTTGGAATGTATTAAGACTATTGGTTTATCAAATGTAAAACATTGTCTAAAAACAATTATCTTTTAAAAACTTTCACATTATGCAAATTTCCCCTATAGGCAATAAGCTATTACCTTAGATCTCATGGTAAGGACTACACCCAAGAATGATTCACAAAGTTTGTTTTGATGTCCACAGAAGCCACAAACACTAGTCGTTCAGATTAATATATGTGTTCATTAGCACAATAAGTTGAGTAAAAATGATCCGATCTTGATTAAATTTGGTACAAACATCTAAACCTATATTCTCAAATCAACATGATCAGACTATTTTTATGGGGTGAAAATTGTTTGCACGCTTATAAGTTAGGGGGAAAAAACAGTACATTGAAAACTTCCATGTGATTCTTGTAAGTCAACTGTTGTAGTTAGCTTGTTTATGGATATATTATGAAAAATTTTGGCAATAATTTGATTTCATTTACCAAATTAAAAACACACTATCATCTTCCCTGTAGCAGCAAACTTAAATACTCATTAAACCTAATGCTATTTAAATAGAGAATAAATCTGACATGATAACCCAACCAATCTGACATGATTGTAGTAAATTACAGTAAACCAGGCAATTGGAAATTCGCTTAGTCTACAAATTTGATGCAGCGGGGGTATTCTAAACTGTTATTGGAATGTAACTAAAATGATAGTAAATAAATGCCATTTGATTATTGGTATAAAAATTGTCTTTCCAATATCCCATACAAAACGATTTCCATATAGATGATTTTCTGATAATTTGAATGATTAACTTGGAATGTTTGATTATATTTAAATAGAAAACCACACTAAAATAAATATAAGTGTCAAACAAATCTTCGCAGCAGTAGCTGAATTCTTGTTATTTATAAACCTGATAAAGGATGTAACATCAATTTTCATGAGGGTGACTACAAAGCTTACAAAATACTTAAGATTAATGGATAATGAAGAGCATTGGTAGCGTTATATACAAGTGATCTGGAAGCACCGTAGCTTTTGCGTGTTTAGTAGTTATTTACAAATGGTATCGTTGTTACTGAGGCTTGGAATCCATGTTGGGAACGTAGTCCATAGCCATGAGACAGGCAAACATGGTCATAACCTAGAACAAATTAACACTCATGACATAAAACAATGTAGTTCTCACAAAAAAACCTAAGTATGAAAATAAAATTTTTCAGTTAAAATATACCTAACCCTTCTTGTAACTGTTGATTTGAATTTGAAACTAGATAAGTAATGTTAATAAAGTGTTTTACAAATCCCGAAAATGTGTTAAAGTTTTTCGAAAAGCCGCCAAAAAAATATATTTTGTATAGTTTATTTTGCTTTTTTATATTATGACCACACAATAGTTATTTGTGTAACTAGTGGGCGAAGTGGCACTTTGCTGCACACGAGAGCAAGCGGCTCGTGCGGAATGATCTCGAGTGTAGCAAAAGGCCTTTTGCCTCCGTGTTACACATTATATTTTTCCTACAGTCACTATAAAGCATATAAATAATTATATAGTCTTCAAACACTATACAACACGTTTTTAGGTTCAGCTGGCAACACAAATAGGTGCCCTAGAGAAAGTAGTCCCCGGTCAGTATCACTTTGCTATTTTTCCTCGGCAAGCAATGTGCTCCGCGACTTGAGAAAATAGTTCCGTATGTTTTTGTAATCTGAAGTGGTTCCCGCGCCTAAAAAAAATGCTTTAAAGGTATTTTCTTGTTTATTACGATGGTAGGAATGTTTTAAAAACGTTTGAAAGAAAAGTCCAGAAAGTTCAGAAATACCAAAACTATAAACACGAAATGACAGGTTAAATCGTAGTTATAATAGTCAATCAGCTGCTCATAGTATTATTATCTTTAAGTGTTGCCAACCTATTTCCAAGCGTACACGGATTACTTGCATAATAGAACCACGCTGTTTTGTGTTGTTTCATTGGAATCCTGATGTGCGCCAAAGTATAAACTGTACGACAAAGTATAAATATGCAGTAATTAGCAGCTTTCTGTACTATAAACGGTACAAGGAAGCCAACTTTGTCGGGTGACTGTAGGAAAAAATTATTTTTTGTTATATTTATTTTAATTTTATGTTTTACTTTACAATTTTATGCTGAATAAGAATCCAGCCCTCAAGTGCAACAAATAATTTATTTTAGTCAGTTAAGGTACACAAAACCCAAAAAATGTTTTTTGCATGACAATAAATGCAAGCGCATGGGACAACAAGAGGGTCAACTAATCCGAGTGGAAAGGGTTAATATGTATTTTCCTCTCTACTTCGATATCAAGACTATTATAGCCTATAAAGACCCAGAACACACTATTAAAAAATTAGTTTTGCACGTAGTCTATAATCTACTAAGGTTTTCTGGTGTATCTGTCGCTATGGATCATTCTATTCAGTCATTTTAGTTCAGATTGTCATCTGTTGACTTGTAAATATACCGTATTACATAATATTGATTAAAAATATTTTAAAATTTTAAGAGGGCTTGTCTTGTGCAGTACAGTACTGCATGCCCTGTCTATGTAAAATAATGTAAATTTAACTGGGACGGGTGGCGTCGTCCTGTAATTCAGCTACTAGGAGGTCACGAATTGTGGATATTTATAGGGATGCGATGCTCCCTGGTGTGGATTAACGTCCGCACTAGTGAGTACTACGACTATCCGCGGTACTATCCTGATAATTAGACCAATTCGTAAATTACAAGGAAAAAATGTGGTTCCGATTCCACTATAAACTGTAGGTCCCTTAGGTGCCATTAGCTGTATGGGCTATTAATTAACAGCTGTGTCTAAGGAACATGTCAGCCTTAGTCACTAACAAGACTACAAGATCGCGTCACTCATCCTACACTCATCCTTCACTCATATTTGGGTTAAAATACACACATAGTGGCGTCCCCATCTTAAATAATTGATAATTGATGTATAAGATATCAATAAAAAAACCCTTTGTTTAGCAGTGATTAAAATGTAGCTAAACTAATTAAAACAATTAATAATTGTTTTCCAAACGAGACTAGTAAATAATTAACAATAAATTACAATATGAAGAGTTTGCTAATTTATTGATTGATGGCTAATGCAAGCCCCTTTACTAAATATTTAAACAGAGAAACATTTTAGAGCCTTTCAGACATATTTATTAGATGAAACCATAGTTTAGCATATTAATTTTTACAATATATGTATTTCGGCGTCAAGAATGTCTGCAGGTAATGTGTTCTGAGGTCACAAATAAAATACAGATCTTAGTGAAGAATGTCAAGACCTCATGTTAATTAAAATGATCTGCATGTTTTTTTTAACTATATTGCCAAAGTGTGTCAAAGACCATAAAATTAAACCTCGGCGTTTATCAGATGCTAAACAAATATATTTTGTTTGGTCACATTTAGCAATGACTAATAATTGTTAGATGTTTAGGTTTTATTGTTTAATAGATAAATTAAAGTTTGATCACAAATAAAAATACTGTTTAATTATATTTCCTTTGATTATTCTACATTACATTGTGCGTAGCTATACACAGGAAATGCAGTACTGTAATGTATTGCACAGGACTGGCCAACGTTTTCTCAAAATTTCAAAAGTGAACAATTCATTTTATGTGATATAATTTAAATTTAAAGTAAGCAGATGGACTATCCAACCACCATGACTGAATACAATGGTCCATAACGATGCACATACCATCAAAATATTGTTATAAATCCATGACTTTAAAATCTAATTTTAAAGGTGTGTTCTGGGTCTTTAAAATAATATTTTATATAGATTGCACTAAATAGAACAATACTTATACAATATCAAACACGAAAAAGGTAACTAATTTTAAAATTTTGCCAGCAAAGCGGGTGTAAAAAATTGTGATATGTCAGCGGTCACAATGCTACTTCAATGTTGTGAGCCGCTCCGTTACCCACAGATAGTAGTGGGAGAGGCGCGGCAGCAGCGGACTCTTTTGCTTACCAGCCGAGTGTGATCAAGTTAGACGTAAAAAACATTAACAAAAACGTAAAAAACAAGGCAGCTAGCATTAGGAAGAAGACGAGAAGAGGTACCTGGGCTGCCGGATATAATTTATTATAATGAAAAACCTGGCTAAATTCATAGGAATAACAATTGACGAGTACATCTCCCGGGAACCACACAAAAAACATCCTATCCAAAAAAAAGAAAGTGGCCTCCTACCACTGTCTTAAAAAAACTAAACTTTGGAACATGGCTGATATAAGGAACATCGTTCGTAGAAACGTAACATCACGGCTACTGTATGAAATTGTACTAATCTTTTGTGAACACCCTGTATATAAATTAAAACTATACCTATATCAAACACTCTAACTAAATTGAGAACATTCTCTTACTTACTTATACAGTTCATACCACACAAGTTGACATTTTAATGTAGCTAAGCTACCTTATGTTAACAATACTTGTTCAATAGTATTGAACTCCTGTTCAAAAATAATATCCATAAAAAAACTTGTCTTAATCTTAATATAATTGTTTCTGTAGAAAAGCTATTGGCATATAACAATCCATGACTTACCATTTTTGGCTTAACTTCTACAATGTCTTCTGCGAGGGCATATACTCTTGCACCCATCCTCCAAGCAATAGAAATGGCGTACTTGGCATTCGCAAGCTTGTCCTGAAATCATAGGATATATTGTTAGGTTCTGTAACACAAATTATTGAATAACATCTATTGATAAGGGAATCTGTCCAACAACAAATGCTGAAACTTAATTGACTTTCTTTCACTTAGGTTAGGTTAAATCTAAATAATAAGGGAGTTAACAAATTATAAGGTTTTTGCTGTGTTGTATTAATTATTTTTGTCACTAGAACAATATTTAGATATTCATGGACAAGTCTTCATCCACACAGTCTAACAATATTTATCATAAGAGTAATGTACATTAAATGAGAACATGTTTAGTCCGAAAATTAGTGATTTGGCAGGATTTCAAATTTTAACCTGGGACCTCAGGGATCAAAGTCTCAAGCTTTACCACTAGACCAGTTCGCTTCTCATTACACAATAGATGTCTGTATATTTAATTCAGATTACACTATTCATATTTTCTCTGTAAAATGTTTTCCATTCTATACATCAACACCAATATTGGACATATTGTAACAAAATGGTCCCAGGAAAGTGCTTCTTGGTTATTTTCAAGGATTAACACAACTGACTAGTAAAATTAATTTATGTCTAAGTAATTAATCACCTCTTCAGTGTCCCCTTCTCTGAAATTCTCATAATTGATGCTTCCTGGTCTGATAGCATCCATGAGGTCTAGGAGCACTTTAGCATCTCCTATAACTGGGTCCTGAAACATGACATGTTTTATAGAACTAAGAACTGGGAAAAATGAATGTATAACATGTCTCTGCTCATTCTGTTGAAAAGAGGGAAAAAGGCAATACAACGAATTACAAATGCATACATTCAACAACCAATTAAATATAAATATAATAAATATTTCACTTATACTAGAGTCAACAATACACAACTAGTTGATAAATCAGAGAGCAATAATATGAAAACATACTTGATTTTGTAAAATAAGGACAAGTACAAGGTTATAATTATAAACCTAACGAATATTTAGACTCACTGATGTCACACCAGTCAATAGCCACCAATAATTCTCATAAAAAGTTCTAAGAAACATATTTGGTAGGTTAATGCCAAAAAACTTTAAATACATAGGTAAGAAAGTTCTCTATTCATCAGTTGGTATACAGAGAACATAAACAAAAAAATCAACATTCTTGTATAACTATTTTCTTTTTAAGTACAAAAATTAAATTTAAAATGACTACAAATAAAGAAGCTTCAATTAATTACACTACAGTAATATTAAGGTATTCATGATATTTTATGGCAACATGTCAACGCTAGACAGAGCCAGGACTATTAGCGTAACTAGTCCGTCTTCTTCGCCCCAATGCAAGTATTACCCGTGCGCCCCTATTTGTAGACTCATTCTACCCCCCCCCCCTAACCACCAACGAAACTAACAACGACATTTCTCGTACTTCCACACTTCCTGGATACTATCACTACACAACGATATTGTACAAGCCCTATCTAACTAGAGAAAGATTATTCAAAGAAATATAATTTATTATGTGCAGTAATTTTAATGTTAATTATTTTAAAAAAATTATTGAAGGTAAAATTAAGTTCCTAAACATTTCCAAACACCATTCATAACTGAAGTAAGGATCACTTTACATACTTACAATTAATTAACATACTTTTTAAGATTATAAAATAGAGACTTCTTCTTACTTTACTTTAAATTTTATTTATATTTATTCAGTCCCCTATATACAGCATACATGATATTGCAAGCTAAATATAATATACATGTTCCGTTTCTCAAACTGATTAATTTGACTAGATAATGCATTCTTACAGTCAGAGAGCTGCCTACAGTTCATAGTGACAACAATGTACGTTAATTCCTATTCCCTGACAAAGTCCCTCTTTGTTTGAACCGCACGATTGTTCAACAATGACTGACAGGGACACGTGCGTAGTTACTAAAATAGTACTGTAAGATTTTATCTATCTATTTTTGTAGCTAACAATGATAAATAAACACGACTGTCTATTCTTCTGATAAGAACGCATAAGCGCAGATGTGTAGTCGGCGCGGAGGAGATGATGATAATAGTAAACAAAAGGGTCACCAACATTCTGTTGTGACTGTAATGGAATAAGGTACCACAAATATTTTTGTTACATTTATTTTTGGTAAGCTACAGGGAGTTTTGCTTCAACATATTTCTTATCTTAACATTTTCCATAATATCAGTTTTTTGTGCCCCTCTAAGGCTTGCACACCAATGCACCACATTGGTTGCATTGGCGTTAGTTACGCCACTGTTCAGGAGTTAAGCCTCCTTCCCCTCTACATAGGAGGGGGGGGGGAGGTTAAGTCCTTTGGGTCCTAAGTATGAGCCCAAGTAAATCGCACATACATATGTATTCATCTAACCAACAGATGTTAACACACACACTATCATGCCTCAGAGGGTTGGTATTCTTATGGTTCATCGTTATTCCTATGAATGATTTTTGCTACTCACTTTGAAACTTTAGTTTGATTGTTAAAACTAGAATGCAATTCTATTTCTACTGGCAAAGTTGCAACAAATAATAGGTCCCTGAACAACGTATTACGTACAAGAAAGGCACGTCTAATTACTAACCTGGAAGCCCCTGAGTGTGGTAGGTTTGCCTGCAGAATGCAGTTTGTTGTTGACCCACGTGACGATCTCTCTTTCAACTATTGGACTACCAGTGTTGGCAAGCTGGGTAAGGATTGAGAGTGTGTAGGCTCTCATCAACTGCCAGATCAGCGCTGCGGTCAACAATAATACATGAGTTTCAGAACAAATTACGAATTTGAAGAGGCATACACTAATCTCTTGAATTTTAGATTGCTTGCCAAAGACATGTAGGTGTTTGCACACACCAGGCCACAATCACTTACTGTTAGTTCTCATGGTTGACTGACCCAAAATTTATATTTTGATACCATTTTACACTAAGAAAACTCATATAGTTCATAAAAGGAACTGTCCTATCCCTTCCAGGGGAGTATGAGTGTATATGGAAGAAAGGACAGTTAGTGAGCCATGCAAAGGCAATCAAATACTGAAGAGAATATAAATCTGTTGACTTGACTTTCAAACAAATTACCATTAATTTTATTAAAGAAAACACCCCTCCTAATTTCCCCGTTGTTCTAAGAAATGATTCCAAAATTAAAAACTTAATGATTAGGGACAAATTATTTTGTCAAGTAAATTAAATTTGCATACTAATTCTGTATGATTGTCAAAATTGAAAAGGTGTAAGAAGACAACACAGAATTAGTGTCTTGTCAAAGAATAGTCGTCTTTTTACAATTAATTGTGCAACCATATGAAACAACAAACCCTTACCTAATGTCAAGGTGGCATTTCCATCATTGATGTCTTGTCCAGCAATGCCTACTAAAGAAAACTTAAGTTCTTTTCCTAACTCTATGGCGTAGTTGCAGTTTTCTAACTTTTCCATGAACTTTCGCAGTTTTGAAAATTTCCTGAAACAAAAATATTTATGTCACTAAACCTGTATAGAGTTAATAAATAACATTAAAAAAACATAAAAAAGTTAATGTCTTATTCACTGTAGCTGGTGAATATTATTAAAATCATAAGAGCAATATTTTAGAGAAAATTATGGAAAACAATTTTGAGAATAGGAATTATTACTTATTCTTAAAACAATATGTTTTACTAAAAGGCTAGTACATACAGGTATAATTGAGTAAATATCAGGTATATTATTGAGAATTTGGACAAAAGTAATAAAATCCTATTCTTTGAAAAATTTTAACAAAGGAGTTAAAGTTCATTTTACACTGATTATATTACATTCTCACAACTTATGTTAAATAATGATGGGTAAAAATAAAAAATAAAATGTTAGAAAGAACATGAAAACAAAAAAAACAGAGTTACAACAATTATTTGGATTTAAAAGGTCAGTAAGAAAAAGGTAAAAATAACATTGATAAAGTTATTCAGCTCAAGCTATGCTTTGGAAAACGTTGATTGTTAAAAACGGGTAATTTGCTTGTTATTAATGTGAATAAACAACAAATAACTTATACTCTATTTTAATTTAGGTTGGATGGCTATAGTTCATATTATAAAACTTGAAATATTTAACAAATTAGTAACACTAACAAGTGAAGGGGAACAAAACATAGGCAAGCTTGAAGTTGAATACAAGTAACAAGATGCCAAAAATAACATAGGAAACACTATTCCTTAAACAGGATGGCCCAACAAAATGCACATTATGATCATTATCAAGAATGTGTAAGTTATTATGTTCATGTAAAGTCCAAACAAGGCCACGGTTGATATGAATAAGTCAAAATTTAACATTTTCACCAGAAAATAGTAGGGTGCAACACGGTAACAATACACTGTACCCGGTTGGCACCAAAAACCTAGGAGCAAATATTTTGTTTTGAGAACCACAAATGTTTTGTACCTTTGACTACTGTTTATGCAGTAATGAAACTTTCATTTCATTGGAGGGTTAATGCAATGCATTTTACAAATAGAAAGTATTAAAATTGTGAATTATCAATTTTGAATCTCAACATAGTGCTGTGCTTAAATTTTTTTTGAAGCAAGGAAATCAATTTATTCAAAAATATTTTAGGTTTATGAGGGCATCGAACAATAATGCAAGTAGGTGAATATTTTTCCAGTATTAACAAACACAATGAAGTGGTGCTTATTTGCATTTATTATGCATGTGGTAGCCTAACTAAAGTGATGTACCCGCAAACTTGAAATCAAAATAAAAGACCAATGCCAATTTTTCCAAGTGTTTTAAATACAGAATAGAGGTTATCAATACTTTTTTTGGCAGGCAGTAGAAGAAATTTATTTCTGTTCTGTTGGATATTTTTATCACAAGCAATATGCCACTCATAACAACCTTTGCATGCAACTAACATACCTGTATTTGTATTTGACAGCAAATAATAAATCATACTGAAATAAATAACACACCACTTTTAGTACGTTCAACTGATATAGAATCTGGAAAATATTTTGAGGCCGAAGAATACTATTTTCACCGGGTTGTCTTATTTAACTTAGGCCTAGTTAGAAGTATTCTAATGCCTGCAAAAGGACAAAAAACCTCTCCCAATATTTGTATTTGTGTATAAACACTGTCAATGAATTGTTTACAGTTAAATCCAAATAAACTTAATTGCAATACTAATATTATTGTTTATAAAAAATACAAGGACACACATGGATCTTTACTATGGGTTCAACTTACTAAATTTTCTAAAGAAAACAACTCCGAAGATTATAAATAACTAACAAATAACTTTGAAATGCACAAGTTATACTAGTAGTATCACTACAAATGTTGCAAACTTATTTATATTTAGATGACTTTTATTTGCATTTATTTGCAAATAGTGATGTAAAATACCCGGGTATTTAAAACTCGGGGTAAATACCCTGGGTATTTACCCGGGTAAATACCCAAAATCCATAAATACCCGGGTATTTTGGGTATTTATGAAATCGATTGAAATTCATATATATTTACCCCTAAATATGTTATTGTTATCAGTACATGATAAATTAGGATAGTCTATAACACCTTTTACAGCAACTTGAAGCTTTGCTAGTACCTTTTATTTTATGATTTAGCACTTTTTTTAATAATACATAAAGTTTTTAAATAAGCATGGGGTTTCGTGTCTAAAATCGAGTAACATCAGTTAAATTTAACTTACTAAAAAATAGTATATTAAAAAAGGCTGTGGCTATTTCAATTTTTATCATTGAGAATGCTAGATAGAGAATGCTAGAAACTAAACACTCCCTATGAAATGAAATCAAGACAACACCTCATCAGAGAAATAGTGAACCTAAACCTACTTTTACTGTTATTAAATTATGATAGTTAAAATTTTTATTGTATAAATGGCTTGGAAGGCTAGACAGACCTAAGGCCTGATTGACATAGGCAGAATGGCAGAATACTAAAAGTACCTAATTAAACTTTTCTGTGTTACCACTTAGTTGGAAACAATAATATAGGCCTATTTGGATAAACCTACTAAAAAAATGTATCTCCTTTTTGAATGATTTATTGTGCTATAGAATCAAATGTTTTGTATCACAAGTTTATGAAATTAGTTTTTTTTTTTTTTTTTTTTTGATACCACTGATACCAAAAAAAGATCTAGAACAAAAATACCTATTATTAGGCCTAAAACCTGCCATCCTACACATTGAATTTTAATTATTTTCCTAAGTTGTTGAAACATAGGCCACTACTAGGTTAAATTTTCCTGTTTTTCTAAATAATAATTATTACTTTGCAAATTATTTTTCTTCACTTTCAATAAAATAAATTCATCTATCTATAAAAAAAAAAAATTCATATTTAGATTGTATTCATCTATCTAAAATAAAAAATCATAAGTAGTCAGGACCAGTGCAACCATGCGACCTGGGTATTTATGGCGATTATACCTAGAAGTAAAGTGCTAGTAGTGACCATATGAAATTTTGTTTAACACATTTTATCATCATTTTACTATCCTTACAGGGTAATAATTCCAAAAAAACATCTCAATCTTCTCTAACTTTAATAAAAATTATAAATACCCAGTTTTTGGGTATTTACCCGGGCCTGGGGTAAATACCCGGGTAAAAACCCAATTTATATTTACCTACCCACTGGGTATTTACCCGGCCCACATCACTATTTGCAAATATGAAAATTTACCACAGAAAAATCTGCCAATAATATTGAATAACATACAGCAACAGTCAAGTTAGACGTTTAAGTTAATGATACAAGTAAATAAAAAAGAATATAAAATAAATCAATGAAACCCCATCTCCTGAATCAAATAATAGATTGATAAGGAATCATTTTGAAATAAAAAACCATTAAAATCCTCCTAAAAACCTCTATTAAAATAAGGTTTGTAAATCCAATTTCCAATGTAGTTCCAGAAATATATGGAAATTGCAATAAATTGCATTAATGGTTCTACTTTGATATTGCATGATTTAATACCATAATCTATTAACAACAAATCAAACGATCACAAGTGGCCTATCAGGAATCAAGAAGATGGAGAAGAAATGGACTAAGAATTACATTAGGACAAACTGTTGAAAGAGACATAGAGATAGAACAAGACATGGGCAACAGAACTGGAAGAACCAGTGGGATGATTGGAGAGTTTATTAAAGCATTATGTTCTCCTAGGAACTCAAGATATATTCAAGAAAATAACTAGAGTGAGTGAGTAAGTTAGTATTGGTGCTATAGTTTAAAGAGTAACCTAATTTAAGCAGCTTTTCGGACATTGAGTTCAGTCAAGTAGTTGTACATTAATTTGAAAATAAATTTCATGTTGAGGGCCCCTGGATTACTGTATAGCGCCAATATGATGGGATAGTTTACCCTCTCAAGTAAGTTAATCCACATTTGTAGAGATCAGCTGATTTACCTACATATGTTTTGCCTAGGGATGGTCAAGTCTCGAAATTTCGGGAAATTTTTGGGAAATTTTAAATCTCGTTACACGAGACGAGAATTCTTTTTGGCCGAGATTTTTATCGAGACGAGAATAAAAAAAAAAAGAACAAAAATATTAAAAACGCCTGCAGAAAGTCAATGCAAGACCCGCAATACAGGAGCGTGTTGTAGTTGCGTTTCCTTTGCGAAGGCGTTCTTATTTAATTAAATCTTTAAATGTAAATATTACTTTAATTATTTTAATAATATTACTTTAATAACATTTTAGAAGTTTTGTTAAGTGTAAGCAGTGTGAGGAATGTTTTATTACTATAAAAAGTCAAAACAAGTAACTATTTTATAAAAATTAATACTGTATTGCTTTTATTTTATGATTTATTTTATTTTAGGATAAGTTGAACTCTATCCTAACTGATATCACTATGTTTCCTAATCGTAGGCATTTTTAATAAGTTAGGCGTGATTAATAAACAAATGTTATGCTGATGTTTTTTAATAAAAGATTGTAAATATTATTGCCTATTATCATTATTTTTGTATTCAAACAGTCATCTAACAATGTTACAAAATCAGGTAAAAATTTTGAACGTGCATTTCCCGTTGTGTATGAGAAGGGAAATCCCGTCTCGATCTCGTCTCGAAATTTTATGAGAAATAAAAAATCTCCTCTCGTCTCGTCTCGAACTAAAAATCCAATCTCGTCCATCCCTAGTTTTGCCGTTAATACAGCATCATCAGGGTGACAAAAACACAAACATAACTGTCGCACAAACACAAATAAAAAACTAGTACGATACGAACATAGCTTATTGTATTGAACGAACATATTGTGTATTGAAAATTAAGTAATCAAACTGAAACCTTTATTGTTAAAGTAATTTACCATTCAACAATTCAAAACAGTCGGACCAATTTACCAGTTTAGAAGCCAACCAGTAGTATTATAACTGCTCTCAAAAAGAAATTTTGAGGTCTGTTCTTAGATTTAAATCCTTCTACAATACATAAAACATGTAAATAATATGAAAATAGCTAGTTACCTGTGTACTCTGTTCCAGTTGACAATGCCAGGTTTGATTATGTCATAGAGTTGAAATATAATGAGGCCATCAGCAAGGTCAGAGTACAACCAGTTGACATGGGGAGTTACACCCATGGAGTTCATCCAGTTTCTGTATGCTGCAAAACAATATTGGTAAGTCTTGGTACAAAAATAATAAACTGTTCTAGTAAACATTTGTGACTAACGAGCATCTTATTTAATCAATCCAATTCAAGGAAATAGATCTTATATATTTTGAAAAAGAGAAATCTAAAAGTATATCTGCATTAAAATCTTTAAAAGCATAAAAAAACAGGCTTGCAAAACTAAATCACAATCGCCTGTAAGCACAGTTAGTTCATAATGGATACATTTTAATTTGTTTGTATTTATTTGTTATAATGAAGTTTTCTATGTGGTCTTCCTTTAGTGATTTTACAACTTTGGCTGAGCTTGTGCAATATTATTGTTATGTTTTAGTTTTTAGTAGATTCTCACCTAAGAAGAAGATCAGATTTCAGATACCATAATGTTGTGAGAACTTGTTTTTGATTAATTGTGATGAAAAAATGCAGTAATAAACCCTCAAGTAACACAAACTTACAACCGTCAAAAAACCGTTATTAACTTCAAAATTATAAGACTTGCATTGGTGAATATGGAAAACCAGGTAAAGTAAACTTCTTTTTATAATCCATTCAGACTTCAAATACCTGGTCGGCCATCTAAGTATGACTCTCTCACTCGCTGCTTTGTCAATAATCTTGTAAACAAACAAGTTACAACGTATTCATAAAGCTCTATTTTATACATTTTACTGCTGTTTTTATTTACTATACAGTACACTCTCAATTTATCCGAACCTTTAGGTTATCTGATGTCGTTTTAGGCCTAAATATATATATATTTTTATTCCCGGTCGGGAAACAATAATAATTACCTTTTAAGGAATGTTTCTGTTGAAAATAAAGCAAAAATAGCAAGTAATTTGTGATTTATTAAAATTAATACTACAAATTATCTGCAGTAACCTAGAAAATGAAAATAACACACAGTACTATGTTGGCTGCTAACTGCTGTTGGTTGGTAAGCTGGACGTGACGTCTGCAGACCATCAACAAAAGCAGTGACATTTCTACTCGGGCATTGCCGGCTCGTATAGCCTTTTGCCAGTGTTTGTCATTACAATGTTTTAATATTGTCATGATTGTGTCAAGTAGGGCCTATAGTAGTTTACTTTAACAACTATAGGGACTACTCTTATTCTGTTTTTATTTAATCCTGTAGATTTTTGACTAAGTATCATTTAATAATATGTAGCCTACTGTATTTACAGTCTTCCAAGACAATTTAACAAGTGTTAAAGCAGTTTGATTTATTATAAACACTGTCTTATATAAAAAAAAAACATTATCCATCAGAATAACATTTAATAATAATTTTGTATTCACTATTAAAACATATACCTTACTACAAGTCTTTGACTTACTAATGTGGTAACGTAACTCCTAACCTCAAAATCTAAGAGACCTCCGTGTTATCTGGGATTCTCGGTAACCGAGGTAGTGCCATTCCCAACGACCTTAGTTAATTGAGAGTGTACTGTATTTAATACAATGTTTTAAAATGTATAATTTTTTGTGTTTACTACTGATGTTTTGTACTTTTTCAATCCAGACAACTTCTGAATAAAATGGAGTTTACTGTGTAAAATAAAGATTTATCCTATTTGAAGAACTGTCAGGAGAAATTATAACTATCTCAATACAATTTGCGACTCAAGGTTTAACAACTCGCAAAGTTGTAATTTATGTTCAAAGAAATAATAAAGAGTTGGTTCATACTTTTCTCTTCACGTGTTTCTTCAAGGTTTTCCAAGCCCTCTATCTTCTCCTCGGGCTGTTCAAGACCAGGATAGAAGTTGAAGAGGTTGGCCACGAACGCAAGGTTAAGCTTGTAGATTCCTCCGACGACGTCACTCGGAGTCACAAAGGTTCTGCAGCCAAGCTTGCCAGCTTGCTGGAGCATCAGCTCAGCTCTCTTAAGCAAGTCTTTCTCCTACAAATAAAAGAAGTGATGAGACAACATAATACATACTGTCATAACGTCACCCCCAATCTCCAACTGTTTCAGATACTGTACTAACTCCAACTGTATTCTCACTTTTAGCTTTCAGTCCCTCTCTGTTATGTTCAACTATGGTCCCAACTGAACATAACTGTATATTAGAGTTTAAAACATATTTAAATTTAATGTACCATCACCACTACAGATAGAGGAATAGAGTAAAAAATGAAGATATCAGAAGAAAGGTGGTTGAAGGAGGAGTTCTTCTCAAGGATTCAGGTCAAACTGTGGCACTTAGGAGTCCTTCTTAAGGATTCAGGCCAAATTGTGGTACAAGAGGAGTTATTCTTAAGGATTCAGGCCAAACTGTGGTACAAGGAGGAGTTCTTCTCAAGGATTCAGAGCTGAAGTGGGTCAGTACAAAAAGCAAGATTAAGATAGTTTCAAGATAAGAGAAGAGTGTGGGAAGAGAAAGATCTCTAGGAAAATGTTGATGGTGATAAATGGAGGGAGACTGGGAGGAAGATCTAGAAGAATTTGCCACAAGAGAGGAGTTGAAATAATAAAATTAGTTGTGGAACCATAGTTAGTGCAATCATAGTCAATTCTTACCATAAGTGCTTCCATGGTGACACCTTTCTCAATCGGGGCAATCTGTTTGATGAGGTGAGAGTATATTTCAGAATCTGTGATGTCTTCATGGAAGTTATTGCATCGTCTGTGAAAACATCAATATATAAATTAATCATACACATTTTTAGAAATGGATTTAAAAATGGTTAAAAGCATCATCAAGAATTGCATTATGTGACAGATTATTGCAAGAATTTTCCATTACACAGCCTTGGTCCAAGGAGAATCAAGAATTATTTTTTGATTTAATTCAAAATCAAAGCACTTTCAAAAAAAAAAAAAAACAAAAAAAAAAACATAAGACTTTAAATTTAAACAATACTGTGTGTAATGCTCAGTTTGTAAGTAAGATTTCCAGTTTGCATTTTAGGTAAATCTTTGAGGCAAGATGAATTCTTCCCAATTGTTTAGGATAAACTTTGGTGCAGGAGAAATTCATCTTGAATGTTTAGGATAGATTGTGGTACAATATGAGTTCTTCTGGGAGATTCAGGTCAAACTGGGATACAGGATGAATTTTTCTCAAGGATTTAGGTCAATCTGTGGTAAAAGAGAATTACTTCTCAAGGATTCAGGCCAAAATGAGGTACTGGAGGAGTTCTTCTCAAGTACTCACGTCAAACTGTGGCACTTAGGAGTTTTTCTTAAAGGATTCAGATTAAACTGTGGTAAATGAAAAGTACTTCTTAAGGATTCAGGCTAGACTGTGGTACAGGAGGAGTTGTTCTCAAGGATTCAGGTCAAACTGTGGCACTTAGGAGTTTTTCTTAAAGGATTCAGATTAAACTGTGGTAAATGAAAAGTACTTCTTAAGGATTCAGGCTAGACTGTGGTAAATGAGAAGTACTTCTCAAGGATTCAGGCCAAACTGTGGTACAGGAGGAGTTCTTCTCAAGGATTCAGGTCAAACTGTGGCACTTAGGAGTTCTTCTTAAGGATTCAGGCCAAACTGTGGTACAAGAGGAGTTCTTCTTAAGGATTCAGGCCAAAGTGTGGTACAGGAATAGTTCTTCTTAAGGATTCAGGCCAAATTGTGGTACAAGAGGAGTTATTCTTAAGGATTCAGGCCAAACTGTTGTACAAGGAGGAGTTCTTCTCAAAGATTCAGGCCAAACTTTAGTACAGGAGGAATTCTTCTTAAGGATTCAGGCCAAACAGTGGTACAAGAGGAGTTTAGTACAGGAGGAATTCTTCTCAAGGATTCAGGCCAAACTGTGGTACTAGAGGAGTTCTTCCAAGGATTCAGGCCAAACTGTAGTACAGGAGAAGTTCTTCTTAAGGATTTAGGCCAAACAGTGGTATAGGAGGAGTTCTTCTCAAGGATTCAGGTCAAACTGTGGCACTTCAGAGTTATTCTTAAGGATTCAGGCCAAACTGTGGTACAAGAGAAGTTCTTCTAAGGATTTAGGCCAAACTGTAGTACAGGAGGAGTTCTTGTTAAGGATTCAGGCCAAAAAACAGTGGTACAAGAGGAGTTATTCTTAAGGATTCAGGCCAAACTGTGGTACAAGAGTAGTTCTTCTAAGAATTCAGGCCAAACTGTAGTACAGGAGGAGTTATTCTTAAGGATTCAGGCCAAACTGTGGTACAAGAGGAGTTATTCTAAGGATTTAGGCCAAACTGTAGTACAGGAGGAGTTCTTGTTAAGGATTTAGGCCAAACAGTGGTACAAGAGGAGTTATTCTTAAGGATTCAGGCCAAACTGTGGTACAAGAGTAGTTCTTCTAAGGATTCAGGCCAAACTGTAGTACAGGAGGAGTTCTTCTTAAAGATTCAGGCCAAACAATGGTACAGGAGGAGTTCTTCTTAAGGATTCTGGCCAAACAGTGGTACAGGAGGAGTTCTTCTTAAGGATTCAGGCCAAACTGTAGTACAGGAGGAGTTTTTCTTAAGGATTCAGGCCAAACAGTGGTACAGGAGGAGTTCTTCTTAAGGATTCAGGCCAAACTGTGGTACAAGAGGAGTTCTTTTCAAGGATTTAGGTAAATCTTAGGTACAAGAGTTCCTCTTGAGGGTTAGGATCAAACTTTTCTATAAGTGGAATGGGATCTTTTGCAGACACTGGAATGGTACACACCTAGGTACTCCAGCTCTTTCCAGATGATGGTTGACCCATCGTAATAGGATTGCTTCAGGTGAGAGTTTCATCAGATCCTCAATGCCTTCTCCATCAGTCAACAGAGTCGTGAGTCCTGGACAGTTCTCCAGGTTGATTTGGTTGAACAGTCCTATCTGTAGAGAATATAACCAAGAATTCATGAAGCTCTTTAGCATATCTACATTCACTATTGATATTGCACCATGTGTCGTGGAGCCAAAAACTGACTTGACTCACAAATATGAATTTGTATTTTTTTACGTTCAATTTCTGTCATATTGGATGGCCAAACAAAGGTGATGTGTTTATATCTCTTGAATTCCTAAACTAAAAAAAAGAGAAAAGGCAATGGTGTATACTATGAAACATACAAAAATTGGCACAACGTAGTGTTGTCACTTGAAGATGGTCATGACACCAATGGCTGTCATGATAAAATGTCGTAGTAGTTGCATTGGATGTAAGTATTTTCATAAGCCAAAGCATAAGATAATAGTAGTACCTAACTCAACAAAAATCACACCCCTTTTGTCCAATAGAACATCAACAAGCAAGTAGTTTTTTATATTAATATTCCATTAGATTTCATTGACTGATGCCAATTTGGAACCAACCAAAGATAGTGGCAGCATAACAAGTAGTACTTACCCTAATGATTTGCCACAGCAGTCCAAGCACCAGATGAGGTTTGCCCTTGGCCAGGTCATGAGCATCAATGTTGACTATATTACATCCGATACTTCTGCTACTGTTAAGAGCCATCGTTAAGTTCTCCAACTTCTTATATACTGTCAGGTTCTTCCTGTTGAGAGCTCGTGGGTCGATTGTGTCAGGACAAGAATGGTTGATAACTTTGCTGAAAAAGTAAATAACATGTACCCTTAGGTTTACACTTTGAACCCCAAGTATCAAAAGATTGAATTAAGCCGATTTATATAATGTTTTTCCTAATATTATGAAGACAAAAATAAAAATTCTAAATTCTTATGATAAATGTTATTGGTACTGTAGTTTACACACAGCAAGAATATGTAAAGAGAAAAAATATCTGAGGTACAACTCACAAAGCATCCACCCATCTTCACTACCACCTATTTTAGGTAAGATTTACCTTCAAGCAATTTTTAGGAATACGTTATATGTTCATCACGGAAGTTAATTTTAAAACAAATTTTATATGATTCTTAACTTCACAAACAAATATTAAAGCAAAATATTAGTATATTGAGTTAATGCTCAATTACAGAAAATATTCTACAAGATTTGTGTCAACAATAAAAAATGATGAAGTGTGATATTATGAAGTAAGTAATTTTAAAAACTGTAAAATGTGTACAAAGTCATTTTAGAGGATTAAATTTGTAAGTAAGCATCTCTGATTTCTTGAGAACTGATTTATATAAAATTGAACCACTGCAAAGTAAATATTGGGTATAGCTATAGATGAGGATGGATAAAATCCCATTTTCAGGGGTGTAAAACTTTTTTATAATATAAGCTAGTATTTTGAATTTTCTTAACCACTTACTTGCAAGAATAAATCACTCATCAGACTAAGTCAAACTGTAGTTGCCAGATTGTAAATGATAAAATATCATCAATATACATATTGTAAAGTAACCTGATTTTACTGATCTAGGCATAGTTGAGTAATAGCTCAGCAGAATTATCAGGTCATAGACCCATCTAGCTTGCATCAGCTTATTGGTTCAATTGCTAACTAAGAGCTGCATACATTTTCCAAATTATAATTTCAATGAAGACGACTAATGATTTGAGAGTTCTAGTCCAAAGATTTTACGAAGTAAATATAAAATAATGTTCTTAGTTGTTTCCTTAAAGAATTTAGTTTATTATGATTTACAAAAAATATGTTAATATTCAAAATCACTCACTTACATATTCATATACTATAAAATGATCATCTATAGTATTATGATCATCTTTAATCAGTGCTGTCTAAACAGTTTTTCGCCAATAACTAACACTAGCAATAATGCAAAATCAATTGAATATCAATTTAATCTTTTTGCAGACCCAAGCCTACTTGTTATTGCCTGGGCATTTTCTATTATTAGTTGATGATATAGCAAGTAAATGTATTTCTCAAGTGTGGTTAATAGACTTATACACAATAACACCAACTTTATAACAGATGGTCTCATACCCTTGTTATAAGTATACATTGTAAAATAGATAACTTATATGTAAACAAAGCAATTATTCTGTTATATTCAATAGTGTAAGTATATTCAATAGTGTAAGTAATACAAATGTTTAGCATTTGTAAAGTTTACAGTTCTTACCATAGCAATATCCCATCTTTGACTTTATCATAGAGAAGTTTGCCCTCAGGGTCTATGGGAAGTAGATGGGATAGGTCCGGATCACTGCCTAGGTTACTGTTAATCCAATCAGAGAACGCCAACTGTTCCTCTAGCCTTACAGAATGTGTCGTTCCTGCAAAAATACCACACATTATGTTTCATAGATTTGAGCATTCAGACACAAGTTAACTGATTCGGACTTATGTCCAACCTTAAATTACACAATTACTATACAACAAATACAGTACTATGGAAGTGCATACAATCATTGTGTATTTTATACAGTATTTAAAAAAAACCAGTAACTGTTCTGTGTTATTTTATTGTATTTGTTATGTCCCGAACAATATTCTTGTTAACTTTGTTTATATACAGTACACAGAATTAGACATACATTTATTTTATAATAATGTCCATTGCTGTATAATAAATACTGTACTGTATATCCACGATAAACGATTTATCATGCTTCTACCGTTAACAAACGGAGAAATGGGAGCTTGAGCTCCAATTATTAGGGTTAAGCATGTAAAAGTTGGGTTACAAAGGATGTGACCTAACACAAATTGTCAAAATTAAACACCTCAATATCTTAAATTTTTGGTACAACACCTTGATAACTCGAACCTAGATTATTTGAAAACTCAAATTTTAGCCTCCCCCTTCAGTTTCAGGATACTGCGGTCCTCCTGTAGTTGAATTAAACCATTGACAGAATGCACTCTTGTCAAACATAACTTCAATTTCATCAAATGGTTACACTCATCAGACACACGTGTGATAGTGATTAGTCTCATTTAATCATAGGTAAATGATTTGATGTCGATTAGTGTTGTGTAAAGAGTGACATTTTCATCATGAGGACAGAGTTGGAAAAGGTTGACAGTAGCACATTCTATCAGTGTTCAGTGAAACTATAGGGGTAGCGGATTTTTATCCCCCTGGAATTTTACCCCCTGGGCAAACGTGACGTCACAAACCAGGGGGTAAAATTCTGGCCGCGAACTTTTGAGTTCTGCGACATCAGCTCGATGGATTAAACGCGGAATTAAACGTATATTTTCACAGTTGTGAATTTAATCAGAACACATCAAATTATAAGAACCTAAAATGTACGGCCCGGATTTTTACCCCTGGATTTTTACCCCCGGAATTTTACCCCCTGGCCAGACATATAAATTAGTGAGAATGATTAATTATCTTGATTCTCTTTTAATTTAATAGTAAACATTTTATTATTAAGTAGCCTATCTTAATTTATTTGTAACATCAACTAATCGAACAGGTTTTTTATTTTAAATTTGAGATTCGAGTATCAGGATTCGATCTTTGAAGCCAACTGTTGATTAATATAACGTATAAACAAACATCAGAATGGTAATTAATTCAAAGATTTCTTTAACGATTTATTTTATACAACCGTGGTAAAACAATGTTTTTCATTTGTATTGTAACAATAACAAAATATGCCTTATTGGTTCTTTACGAATAAATGTTAACCCAATTATCATTTAAATGAGCTACTCAGTTTATTTTACATACTTATTAACCAACAGTTGGCCCCAAACGCAAATCCCGAACATCAAAATTAAACAGTGAATTCTGTTTACTTAGTTGAGATTACAAAATAAATAAATAAAGATAGGCGACTAAATAATGAAATGTTTACAATTAATTAAAAACAGAAATAAGAAAATCAATCATTCAATTTCTAAAATTGGCCAGGGTGTGAAATTCCGGGGGGTAAAATTCCGGGGGCAAAAATCCGGCCCGTGCATCTTCAGCTGTCTAAACGCTAGTTATATGGAGAGGGGGTAAAATTCTGGTTTTTATCGCTAATCTAATTAATCACGCTCTGGCTATTTTCATTAGACTTCCAAATCCGCGGGGGTAAAATTCCGGCCGCGAACAAACTTTTGGCCACTCAGCTTACTACGTCATAGTGACAGCTTTGCCCAGGGGGTAAAATTCCAGGGGGTAAAATTCCAGGGGGATAAAATTCCGGCGACCCAAACTGTATTCTGCTTATATTTATATTCTCCAATGCCATTAAAATATAACATGATAGGTTTTCTGACAGCTGATTTTAATTAAAACTTTGATCAAATTGATGGCTTCACTGAGAATATAAATAAAGCAATGGTGTCCATCACAAAAATGTATACAATTGTTAAATTCAATGCAACTAAGTGCTTTTATGTGCTCTTCAATAAGTAAATGTATTGAAATTTTCATTTAATATGAACAAGGTAATAGTGATTGACTTGACTAGTGATTTTCCCATTTGCATTATTGGAACTGTTTAAGTCCAACACCTGCACCAGAAGTCTGCAATAAACATCAATACTGTAGTACAAAATACAACAATCAGCTGATAGCTGACCTTCACTGGAAGCATCAGACATTCCTCCGAGAGTTTCCAAGTTCTCTTTCTTGGAGACGACTTGTTTGAACGTGCTTCCCACCTCATTGGCTTTCAGTTCCAAACACAACTGTGGATAAAACATACAACATTATATGACTTGTCATTGATAAAAACCTAACCTCAAATCACACTTTAGAACAGATCACCTACTTAGGAATTTATTTTAACAAAATATCTTTGCTTCTGATCATTAATGAAAACTCATACAATCATCAAGTGGGATACTGCTTTCTGCACAATTAAAAGATGTAAAATAAAACAAAATCACAAAACCGTTTATTAAGATATACATTTAATTCAAAACACAAACGTCAGAATGTGGATGGATGTTTGAAAATCGATTGATAAGGGAACAGGTACCTAATTTAATACACGACTAACAAAATTGTTTGGCAAGTGGTACTAATTAGCGAAATTCCCCTGTAATTGTTTAGAAAAAATGTTTGTCGCTTGAAAATATATGTGATAATGAGTGTAAAACAAGATTGTAGAGTGTGAGTGTTTAACTATTGTTGATTATGCCAATAGGAAGACATAGATTGGCACATAATTGTGAATACATTACATATTTAGTTTCTACACAGTGTTTTTAGGCTTAAACCATCTGACAAATCAGAGGGCACAGTTTCAACCATTTAAACTCCAGGGATATTTTAGTAATTTAACTATGTCTATTTTTATTGTGTTTCTTCTTATTTTATGTGCTCAGAAATCCAAATTATTCTTAAAAAGTTTAAGGTTAACAAACTCAATAACGATTGTCAAAACGTAGCTAAATACAAGAAGCAAATTGCAAAAAATCGAACAAGTGCATTACCACCGAGCTCTGCCACAGAAAGGAGTTGCACACTAAATGATGGGATTGAACCCTTGATCTATAGCCAGAGCCAATGTCTTAGTCCACTCAGCACTGCGTAAACACAAAGCTCAAGTGTGGTTGTAAACTCAACTCTTAGGTCGCAGCACTGTCAGTTACAGCTTACAGCTTTTATTGGAACTGTGCTGGTATGGATTGGTTGATTTGCCAGAGAGCTTGAAAAGTTATTCTACAAAAACCTCATACAGTTAATTATTAAAACTATTATATTAAAGAGATTAAATCTATATTCAAGAGATTAAATCTATATTAAAGAGATTAAAAAATCTATTATATTGAGCAGCAGGCTTGAGTGAGTCTCTGGCGCTGGTGTGAGGGGTTGTTGGCGGCTTGTGTGAATGGGATTTTGAGGATTACAAAATTTAATTTCTTGATGTTTACTTATTTAATGTAGAACTTTAGATTATTTAAACTAACTTATATAAGTGAATAAGTTTTAATTTATTTATATTTTAGAGGTTAAGTGGTAGAGAGGACTTACAAGTCCTAACATCGCCTCTTAAATAAACATAAATAAACATTTTAAGCACCTGATATTCCAATTGATTTAATATGATTGCCTGTATCGCTTCATCTGCAAATGAAACCAATCACAATACTGATCATTGATGTAAAAATGAATAAAGATCGAATGACATTTGATCTAAAGGTGAGGTAAAAATGCATTAAGAAGGCATCTTTAAAATAAACAGATTATTACATGTTATGAAATTTCAAATGAAAGATTATACATAAAATGTAAAAATTTAACGCTGACATGAGCAGATTCTTGTAAATAAGCATCCTGATTGTATGACCACTCTAATTTAAAATTGTGCTTTTGTCTTTAATTATTTTAATTTTGAGAATGTCATTGCAAAAATACCTCAAGAGTTAAATAATTAATTCTTTTATAGCTGTATCGGCTCTTCTAATACAGGTACAGTTCTCATTGTATATTACAGCTTTTTGTTGCTGCTAGTTGAAATTGTCTGTCGTCATAAATGCAAAAAAATAATACTGCTACACCCTGTTAGTAAACCTTAAAACTTTTTAATGATATTGAATATCAGAACCAACTTGACCAAGTTGAAACAATTTGTCAAAATTATTTAACTTCTTTTAAATATGAATACTCATAAGATAAACATGGGAAATTCCAGAGTCATTGGGACCCAAAAGGATTTAAAGGACTTATAAGTTAATCGGGAATATAAACTATCGTAATGCCAAATTTAAGACCAATCCGACCAGTAAATAATGTGTGAACTTCAATCAAGAAAAGAAACACACAAACTTATAATATTATATTGTAAATAGTTACAAAAGAAAGTGTCAGTATGACTATAAACTTGTCAGCAATCAAGTTAACAGTTCCATAAATGTCATTATCAGTCAGCACTAATGGTGAAAAAGTGTTTCCATTAGCTGTTGACAGTACGTGGAAAGTGATGAAACAAGAGTTTGAGTTTACTTACACTGTAACTCACACTTGTGTCCAGTTTAATAATTAAACCAAAAAAATGTATATAAAGTCACCTCTCTTGAAATCAATGTTATTACAAATAATAAACTACAGACTGGGAACATAAAATCAAATAAGTTTTTCTCAACGATAACATATATTATAACAAATAATTACAAAGAGGAAACTTGAATTCTTGTTGATTTTCTTTAAAAGTAATCTCATTAAAAATTGACTACACAGGAAACTTGACGTTTCATCAATTTTACTAACTGGATCTTTATTTACAAAGATATTTTTACAGTTATAAATAGTTGAAACTCAATGAAAAATGTAATCTTGTCGACTTCATTTCAGCACATTATCAATAAATCATAAAACAGCATACATTCATAATACATTTTATCAACATGGGCAAACTTTTTATACTTTTTCTTTTTCCTTGTAATATATATATATATATTACAAAGTTTCTACATATTGAATAAAAATACAGTTTAGGGAATTTTCATCAAGAGAAAGATAAATGAAACAAAATGTGAGGAGTACCTTTTCAAACTCGTCGAAGGTGAGTCTTCCCTTGTGCTGTGTTTTCTTTTGGTCATCGTAATCTTCTATCATCCTCCTGACTTTCCACCCGGGCATCTTGAAGCCGCATTGGTCGAGGGCGTTTTTGAGTTCTGACAAATCAATGTAGCCATCTCCGTTTGTGTCGATCTGAAAAAACCAAATTGTTATTCAACAAACAACAAAATAGTTCTCTAAAATTGTTTTAACATTTTTTTGGTTTATTGTACATAGTCAGATGAGAAGGCCAAGGATGAATAAAAATACTTCTGTCTCAGCAAACCTGCAAACTATGTTAGATAACCACTAGAAGGAATTTTGGTTATACTATCAAAAGTACATTTTTACAAAAGCTATATCTATAAACAAGCTATTTACAGAAATTGACTTATTGCTGCATGGAAGACAAAAATTATGCGTACAATTTTTGATATTACTGAACAGTAACTAAACTGTTTGTTTTCAAAATGATTAGAATGATAAACAAATCTAGATTTTTTAAAGTTTCGGTAAAAAAGTGTCATTTTGGGATTACAGAGTAGGAAGGCCAGGCTCGTGGTTTGCATATGATACACTATGGGCTAGAGAAATATTTGCACCTCCCCTCTCCCTCTCCATGCGAAGGAATTTTCTCTTTCTTGCACCCCGAACAAACCTAAGATATCTTGCCCTCCTGCCCCTTTTACAGAAGAGGCCCCGCCGAGGACTGGTTCGCAAACTAATTTTAAGAGTTGTTGCATTTGGTTTTAGTCCGTTCAAAAAATTTTGGCGGTTTGAGGCGAAGTTCCCCCACAACTTTTTTTTCTGCTTCATGTATGTTGCATCGGATTGACGTTTTTACAAATCTCAAATGTTGAGGCTATGTTTTAATGGTAGGATCAAAAAGCGGAGGGGATAGATTTCTTCCCCTAAAACCGCCTAAATTTTGTGAATGGAGTGTAGTCTTATGGGACAGTTTGGCTTCTAGAGACCCCAAAACGAATAGGTCCAACCATGAGGAATAGGAAAAAACATATTTACCAGTACACGTAAATTCCCTAATAATGAAGAACAGTAGTACTTGATAATTTTTAAGTAAAACGTCTGATTACATTTTATCAGCACACTGATTACAACATATTGAGGCCATGGTTTGTCAAGTGCTAACAAAAAGGAAAAGCAATATCTAAACACTCTTCTGTGGATATTCGTTATAACCTTTAACCTTTTGACAACTATTATATTTTCATACGTTTTTTAGTTGAAACGGAATAAAATCCTTTAAAAATATTCAAAATCTATTCTAATTGGCACATAGAGCAATTATGATGTGCTAATTAAGATTTAGTTCAATTTTTGGAGTGATAGCAATTGATCATGGACTAGGGCCTACATTATTTTATTGTAAACTGATCCTGATATTACAACTATATGTTTTAATAAACAAATTCAAAAATAATCATTTCATGTGTACTCTGAGTGAGAAATTAAGTAGGTAACAAATTAATAGAAGTAGTAAGCCTATTTAAATCACCCAAAATAAAAGAAAGTCTTAAGAAATAAATATTTAGGTTGCTTGAAACTCTTTATCAAATCAGCACATCAATATATAAAAAATTCATAATAGCAACAAGAAAGCTAATCGATGCACCAGAGAGACTCACGTTTTTAAAGGCTTCTGGAACCTGAGCCAGAAATTCATCTTGAGAGTATTTCATGTTTCCCATTGGAACAAGTCCTAGTAACTGACATACCAAACACCCCCCCCCCCCCCCAACCACTTCTCGACTCCCGCACCATTCCCTATTGATAAGCATTCTTATCACCTAATACAGCCTGTCCTTCAATGAGGGTGATAACTCTATTCTGGTTGTCTTATCAAACCAAAGATACTATAAGTGCCAGCTGTTCCTTGGTTCCAGAGTTTCTCAAGGGATTACTTATTGGATTGAATCAATTTCAAGTCGAATTGTATGTACAGTACAAGCAACGAAAATATAAATAGCTGCTAATTTATGGAATACTTTGGTTATGGAATGCCATGGGGAAAATAGATTTAATGTTGTTTCTATTTAGTAAACTAAAAAAAGGTTTATCAATATTTAATCAATTCTATCATGAGTAATGAACTTATAGTATAAATTTATTGTTTTCCCCACTATTATAGAATTTATTTAGTAACATAGTAAAAAGAATTGGCCCGTAACAATAATTAAAAATTTTATCACCAATTAATTGCAGTTCTCAAAAACGTGCAAGAGAGTAACTATATATTTCTTTGTACACAATGCTAAGTTCTTCTCCTATGCCGAACAAGTATAATGTTTGAAATACTTTGAAATAAGACAAAACTTAACGAAGAAGCTATTGTATTTTGAACTGATTCTACGCCTATGGAATGGCAAGTATGAGAAGTGAGTGAGGATGTAGAACAGGCCCGGTCCCACGACCCAGGCTACACAATGAAACAGTTGTAATTTGCAATCTCAGCCTCATTCATTAGTCCACACTTCTTCACTCAGATCTACTGGTAATTGTAATGTTCGGCCAGTCCCTTCTACATAACTATCTAACATGCTCCATTAATTCCCAGTAGCAATCTTAGAAGAAGAACGGGCATTTCAAATTGAAAGATATAACTTTTATAGTATTTGTTTCATAAATTTTGCTAGGTGTAATTAATTAGATTAATTCTTTATAGCTTTTAGTAGAGTTGATATCGACAGTTGCTACATTATAATTAATTGAACAATGTATTTAAAATAAAAGAAAATACTGCTAACCTTCTCTATATTGAAGGTGCTGAAACGCATACCAAACAGTGACTATGATATAAATAGTGGTGTTCCTGTAAATTAGTGTTCAAAACCCCAACGCTTGATGTCCAACGTGCCACTCATATTGTATCAAACCATATCAACATGCATTAAGATGATCCAAAGGCAAATTAAAAAAAAATCGTTACGGTACCCATTCTCAGCTCATGTTAAATATTTGTAAAAATAAATATTTCAAAATTAAAAAAAAAACTTTGTATTCTACAACAGAAGGTTAAAAAATGCTACGCAAAAACACTAAAACGTTTCCGTTAAACGTCACAAATCAAATCAGATTCATTCATTGCTGCAAAAATAGCGTGTATGATTAATGGTTGAATCATCAAGATAATCACCAATGAATCACAAAAAAGTATTTTAATAACATGAATGATCGTCCTTAAAGAGTCCTTGGAGGCTAGGGGCCATTATTGGAATATTTCAAACGGCTGTTGAAGGGTTATTTATTATCCAAAAATATGTTTTTCAAAAGTCATAGTGATTGCAATTCTAGTGCACTGTGAGATCAGAATTTTTTAATTGTTTTCCAAGGGAGTCCACGGAGGCTAACGGCCATTTGGATTTGCCCGCCATAAGAACAATTTTAATTTTGTTAATTTCAAACAGCCGCTGAAAAGTTATTAACCATCTAAAAATATTTAAACACCAATCTAATGTTAAATATCTAGTGCACTGTAGGATTGGACATTTTCTTCTTACTTTTGTAATTATTTTTTGAGTTATAACGTCTAGGCTCCAAGGACTCTTAAACCATTATTCCAAGATACTCCTCCTTTTTGCAGTGCAAAATAAACTACATCAGTATAAAACGTCCACTACTAATTCTAAAAGACGGCTGTGTTTTCAAAACACTACAACCCAGGCAATATGATGGCAGGACAGTACAACTGAGTAATGAGTCATAACTCGACAGCTTGTAGGTTAAAGAAAGAGAGAGAGAGAGAGGTACAGGGAGGCACAGGTTGTAGGTGTAGGAGTGAACGGCACGATGCCAACAGTCAACAATACAATTCCAGGCACCCGGCCACTGCCACTGCCGCCAGTCCTGGTGGTACGTGAGTGGACAGCAAAACACTCAAAGTTACTGCTCAACATACTTTACCCATACTGGAGTAGTTTGCCAACATCAAGTAGTCAAATTAGCGGTTAAAATTACAGCATGGGTTTAAGTGAAGAATTTTTCAATAGAGAGTAAATGTTCCTATGAGAGACATATTTATGTCTTCTACATTGAGCCTGCGGGCTTTGAGCCATCGGGTCGAGGTTATACAACGTAAATAAAAACTAGTGATTTGCGGGGTTTGAACCCGCACCTACAGTATAGAAGTCTTGTATAGAAGACCAGCCGAGCCCAATCAAGCGGCAAATCCCGGCCTAGCTCTGACTCCAACTTTTGTTTGAATTTCTTAATAACATGTTGTAATTCAAGTTGATTACTTGTAGTATGACGAGTTCTTCATATCCGCGGTACGCTGCTACGTATTCCGGTATGACAAATTGACTGATATTACTAGTTCTGAGAAGTTTGTGTGCAATGAACTCTGACGAACGTTAACAAAGCAAAGTTTCAAAACCTCGGATGATGCATGTTGATACTTTACAGAGACTTAGCATAAGTCGAATGGATTTTACATTCAAGAAATAATTCTCTTATCGAAAAATGCGAGTAACTTTCGAAAACGTTTGCCTACCATCGCTAATCTCCCGAGCAACTGTGTAACAACGTTTACCAAGTATGTCAAAAAGGCCAAGCCCTTATTGGACAACTTTGACACCCGCCCCTATGAAAACTGCAATGCCTAATTTAGCGTTAGGTTATATAGGTTTACAGAAGTCACTTAGCCGCCCGAGTTTTTAACTCTTTCTGTGTGCCTTTTGACTAAAAAAAGGGCCATTTAATTCCCATATCAGTTCCAGTGGGTTTAACGCCTACTGAAACGGGAGTTATTATACATCGATGACTGAAACACCTCGATCGGATCCCGTTGTGCGCGTTACCTTTTGATCCATTGCCCTCACCACAAGATAATACTTAACACAAATTTTTGATTATTATCTAAAAAATAAAAAAAATAGAGGTAAAATAAATGAAAATGCATTTTAAGTAAGCTCTGGTTAATCATAGCCTTCTACTTTTTATGACTAAAATAAACTAAGTTAAATCCCAAAAATATGAACTTGAATACCACACAACGTACAACCGAGTACGTAATTGCAAATGTAAACAGTATCTCAAACATTCCCACAGTAAATAAACATCCTTTCTGGGACATGCTTCCGTAATTAGAAACAACACTAGCACAAAATAAAGAGTATTTTGTGCTAATAGTCATA